TATTTATGTTTTGAGTCTGGAAACTGAGCAATGTTGTGGCCATTCTACCTTTGGGAAGTCTTCTACCCCAGACTAGGGCATTACTGCTGCTATCGGAGCATCCTTGGGCAGTTAAATTCTTGCTAATGCTCCTTCCAGCCCTGAGCTGATTTGAGCCATTAAAGCCCTTCAGCTCTCTTGTAAACCAAGAAGCCTTTAGATTGCAGGGGATTTGCTAAACCCAGTGCTTTAAACACATCCCCCTTTCTCAGCAGTGACTTTGTGGTCCCCCTGAGCCTGCCAACTAGATTGCATAAATGCCTAAAAATTCTAATTGCTTCTGCTTAACTTGAAAATCTAGTAAGATTTCACCCACAGACTCTCCTGATACTTATTGCCAGGATTAATTGGGTCTTGGTTAAAAAAAATAAATAAATTGCATATACACCTAGCTGAACTTAATTTTACTAGTTTCTAGTGTGCCAGAAACTAGTAAAAACACATTCAGTTAGGAACTCCTGATCCAAAACTGTGGATGTTACTGCAAAGTAAAACTGAGGTGAGTAAATCAGCTATGGTGGATTCTTTTGCAGCATGGACAAGAGGAGCTGTATCAGCTTGCATTTATAACCCTTTCTCAGGGTTCCTGTGGCAATTTCATTTACGTTTATGGATAATGTTGAGGGAGAGTAAAAGACTGTGCTTCCCCAAACCAGGAAGCCCTTAGAAACTTCGGCATGTCTAAAGTAATGCGGTATTCATATGTACTCTTAGAAAGCATGCCCTTTAAATGGAGAAGGGAAGTTGCATATGTAGCATTTGGGCAGGAATTTATGTTTCTAGCACAAAGAACTTTGAACAAATGAGACACTTGTAGAGCTTTGCTGAAGCTTGCTTTTATTTTACAGTTGTGTATAATAACTCTTTTACAAGTGGACAAGTAAGATGACTTGACATGTTGGTGTATTGTTTTTATCAATGAATTCCTTGGGAATTTTCACAGTGGAGTGTTTTTTTCCAGGCATATGCTTGTTTTGCCAATATGTCTTGTCAGCCAGATTGAAGTCAGCTCGTGGCTGCTGGAGTGAAGGGTGCAGGGTAGAGCATTAGCTAATAAGCCATGCTGGGGGTAGGTGTAGCAGCAGTGAGCTTGGCGTCTTTCTAAAGTAGCTGCCAAGTTTTGTGGTAGACACAAAGTTGAATATGAGGCAGCATTTCAGTGGAGAAGTCCCAGCGTATCCTGGGCTGCATTAGACAGAGTGTTGCTAGCAGGCTGGGGGAGATGATTCTTCCCTCTCCTCAGCCCTGCTGAGGCCACATGTGGAGAGCTGCATCCAGGACTGGTCTCCCCGGTACAAAAGACCTGGACATCCTGGAGTAAGTCCATCATAGGGCCACTGACACCTTAAACATACCTCACGTGGACTCCTTCGTGTCTGATGTAAGAGGAGAAGGTGAGAAAGATGGAATTCTTTTGCCTAGAGAAAAGAAGACTTGGATGGACCTCATCAGAATGTTTAAATACCTGGATGCGTGGAGAGCAAAGAAAGAGGCAAAGGGCACAAATTTAAGTGTGGGAAATTCCACTTCAGCAAAAGAAAAGCCCTTTTTTTTTTTTTATGAGGGCATTGAGACACTGGCACAGGTTGCTGAAAGGGGTTGTGGAGCCTCTTGGGGTTGACCTAGATGGGGATGTCCATCCCCCAGAAGTGCCTTCCGACCTCAAGTGTTTTGTGATTCTGTGGGAAAAATGATGCCCTTCGTGACTGGGCTGCAGGCAGGGGACACAGAGCCGCTTGAGAGTGTGAGAAGTTTGCAAGGGATGTGACAAGACTACCACATTAGAACACTGTGTGTGTTATTCTTCATATATTTCTACCTTATCCACTTCTGCTTTATTGGAAGATCTGATATCTCTTGGGTGTTTGAGTAGTGTGTGCATTGAATTGTTTCTCACAAATGGTGAATTTCTGCTTCTGGTTCCAAAACTCAGATGTCACGTGTCTAGAACTAGCTGTTCTGGACTTGATCTGGCACATTGTATACAATGCCTTTTCTCCTGACAGGAGCATGTGCGTGTCCTGTGTGCAGGTTCCATATAGAATCTGAACTTCAGTTTTGTCAACTTTTGAGGTCTGGTACAAATTGAGACTTCCTCTATTCTCCATATGCTGTTTAAAGTGATGCTGGTTGTTATCTGTGACAGGTTTCATTTGGTTTTCCCTATCTTGTTGTTGCCAATCTAGATGATTAATGAACCATCATCTGCACAAAGTGTCAGCTGGGCTTTCCAGAGCTGTTACCCTGTTTTGTTCTGGAAGTTGAGACTCCAGGATTTTGCAGTTGTTGCCCTTTATAATGTAAAAGGAAGTATGGTACCTTCTCTGCATGTCTGTCTGCCTGATTCAAAATATGATAGAGATTCATTAAATGTATTTTTTTTTCTCTTGTGAAGAAAAGTCCAGTGGTGGAATAAGCATAATAATAAGTCTCTTGTTGTTCCTAGTGGAAGCTTTGGGTGCTGAGCAATGGTTACAATTGAAGAACCTGCTCCCAGGGCCATTGAAGACATTTTTTTTTTTTCGGTCAGATCTTTACAAAAGCCAGAGCCCTAAGGCATAGCTATAGTACTAAGGTGTGCTACAAAACACACCTGTAGCATCCAGTATTCTATATCCTGCCATGCCAATGCCAATGAAGTAGCTCTTTGAAAAAAGTTGTTGTGGAAAACCATGCAGTAGGGACTCAGTTCTTTTAAGTATCAGGAGAAGAACAGGAAACTTTAAGTGAGACTTATTTTATTTTTTTCTTCCTTTCTTCACAGGCCGGAATAAGAGCATGAAACTAAGTGGACGGCCACACCGACACATCGGAGTGTTAGGCACTTCCAAGCTGTATGTGATAAGAAATCAAATATTTGCTTTTACCCCTCAGGTGAGCATGTAAAACTAGCAGGAAAATCACAGTTTGCTTAATGGCTAATCATTAGTGAATGGCTTTGCAGTTGTATACTGTCATTCTACTTAGATGGAACAGGCTTGATAAAACAGATGTACTTTGTTTTTGTGGGGGGAATTCCGTGATCAACATGATAGGAATGCTGATAAGTCTCTGTTCTGCCATACAGAGTCTGGCTTCTTTGGACTCAGCTTCAGAAGAACACAGTGAATCAATAGTACAAAGTTGTTACTGATCTCTGCACTAACTGATGTTTTAGCTAATGGAATAAGTAGTTTGTCCAAAAATGGGTCACTGGATATATGTGCCTACTGATTGCTTTGATGGAAAACTTAGCTTCACCTAAGCGTGCCAGGAACTATAAGCCTCCAGACACGAGGGTGTAATCTCTTCAATATATTGTTGCAGGGGTCAGCAGAAAAGAGTGGTTCTCTTTGTTTAATGCCTTCTTCAGTACAAGTTTGATCTTCCCCAAATGAATGGCTCATTTTATACACTTAGGGAAATGCTGCACGCTTCTAACCATAGCCTTATTCTGACATTTAGTCTTAGAAGGCTACGGGGTCATTGACTCCAAACTTGTGGAACTGAAGCAGGATAAAAAGTGCTGACAAACTGCTAACTGTTGTTTGACTAATGTGGCCTTTGATTCAGCAGACCCCACGGATGGCCTGCTGCAGTGCTCTGTAACGTCCAAATGTACTGAAATTTACTGCAAATATTACTGACGCCTTCTCGTTCCATTGATCGTGGCCAGCTTCATAACAAATTTCACATGTGGAAGATTGGTTATTATATTATAATATTACATTGTGTTGTCTCTCCTGGGCCTAAATCTCTCTTTCCTGAGTTAAGCAGAAATTCTTCAGTACCCTGAAGTTAAACACGAAATGTAGTGCTCAGCTCATGGGCTGATCATGGGCTATTGTCCACAAAAATCATATTTTTGTAGTCTGTGTTCCATCCAAGTCTGTAATGAAAATATCCACCGAGTGTGGGGCAAAGGCTGCTCCCCTTTAGCTGCTCTCTGAATATGAGAGAACAGGTGATAACTACCTCTCGCAAACAAGTTTTTCAAGCAATTCTTCTTTACCAGATGTTGTTTCATTTATGTTGTCTCATAAATGTCAAAAGCTTTGCAAAACTGGATGTATGTGCCACTGGATGCGGATGCCACTTCCTGTTGCTTCCAAAGAAGGAAATTGGAGAAATTGGACCATTTTGCTGAGAGTGTTTCTGACAAGACTGTTTGGCCATCTTGCTTTATCAGTTTGTTATTACCTTGGTACTTTCAAGCTGGCTGTTTTGTTGTGGTTCCAAGCACTGACTGAATCTGGGTTGTCTGGTCTATGTTATCCTGGCTCTTCCATTTTGTAAAGACTTGACAGTGTGTTTGCTTCTTTTGCAGATTTCTGGGACCTGTTCTGTCTGAGTTCTCAAAAATAGTTTCAGGAGGTTCATGAGGTTATTTTGTCTAGTTCCTTAAGTTCTCTGAAGTAATTCTGTAGACTTTGCCAGCTTGGTTTTAGGTGCTCTTAAACCTTTTCTTCCCTTACTCAGGCTGAACTCCTGTTGCTTTCTTAAAAGTATCCACAGTTCTGATTTTCTGTCAGTAAAGAGAGCATTGAATAATTCACCTGGTCCATATCCTCTCTTCCTTCTTGGGAACAGACCTGTAGTTCCTTTGGTTTTGTATTACTTCTCATGTATTTACAGAGTGTTTTCTCATTACGTGTCCCTTATGTGTCTTACTAATTGACATTTACTTTACCTCCCAGCCTCTCTCTTCCACTCCTCCCGAGTGATTATGCAGTTAACTTTTGCTGTGGCTTATTCAATGTAGTTTAATTGATTGTCAAGCCTTTTAGGTTTCCAGCTCCTGATGGAGCTACCATAGTCTCGTACTGTTATTCTTAAATTTCCTTTGTAATGGACAACTTTACCATGGTACATTTAATACAATTCTTTTTTCACAGTGACCGCCAGCTTTTATGTGTTCTGCTTGTCTGTCACATTGTTCCCAAGAGACATGTAACTCTGGCTTCCCAGTCTCTGCCGTGTGTGCTTAGACTTGTTTGTGTTTGTTGTGTGCTTGTTCTGCATCTAGAGCACTTCCAGATCATAGGCTACAGTAATTCACTCATTCTTGGGAAAATTGTACTTGACACGTGTGATGATCTCCTTTTTATTTGAATGACTTGTTTTTTCATAATTAGCTTACAAGTATAAGAACATGAATTTTTTATAAGTGTGGAACTTTTTGTGATAGTAGAAGCCCAGTTAGGTTAATTCATGCAGTCTGCACGCTGGTTAAGGATACCTCATGTGGCTTTTGTTGGTGCTTTCCTTCACCTTCATTTCCTCCGTTAACAGGTATGAGTAGATGTGAATGAATTATTTCTCTGGGCTCTAGTTTACAGACCAGCATCACTTCTATCTGGCTCTGGACAATCAGCTGATTGTGGAGATGCTCAAGACGGAGCTGGCTTACCTCACGTCCTGCTGGAGGATGACGGGGAGGCCAACCCTGACGTTTCCCATCACCCACACAATGCTCGGTAGGCTTCGTTTTTCCTCTTTCAAGCAAAGTATTTGCTGTGGAGGAGTAAGAAGGGGTAGTTCTGAGAGGAGACAGATGGCTTGGCTGTTTTCTGAGTGGAACTCATCTGAGTTTTCACATCAGAGTGACGATTGACTTTTCTTAAGTCTTTGCTGAACTTGGATGATGAGGTTATATTTTGGTTTGGTTTTACTCCCCTTGATATACTTGCATCTCCGTATCGTATCCAGACTGATTCTGTTCAAAAAGATTTGACAGAAAACATTTCAGAACTTGTCATTAGTGAAGTGTGGGTTTGCATTTGTTTGCCTTTTGAATGAACTAGTATTGATGCCGCTTCTGGGGTTTGGTTTTGACTTAAGTCTCATTTACTTTGTAAAGAAGAGTCAGTAACCCACATAGCTGGTTCTCATAACCTAAAACCATGTCAAGCTTCAAAATTATTTGTTTATTCTCCTTTAGTTGATGATGGTGCTGACATTCACCCAGCAGTTCTTGGCTCCATAAGAAAGTTAGAGGATGGCTATTTCGGAGGCGCAAGGTAGTGTCAATTTCCCAGCAATTATTTTTATTTATTAATCATACCCATGCAAGCCTGTGTTTAAGCATGTGATAACAAATAGGCCTGGTAGTGGCATTCCACAGAGAGAAGAACTTTGACTATAACTATATGGAAATCGAGCTGCAGCTGGTCCTAAGGTGCAATGGGAGGGGTGGGTCTGCCAGAGAACTGCACTGTCTGTCATTGGCCTTGTCAGATAATGGGAAACTAGTGTCAAACTTTGGAAATATAAAACTACAATCTTGGGCTTCTATTTTTTAAGAACTGATTATCTTTTTAAAATACAGAATTTCTTAAGCATGAAATTACATGTAGTACTGTAATAGGTTTCATGTAATATGTTTCATTCATCTTCAATTTGATAATGTCACGTTACTTCCCTATCGTCCTTCTGTTTCCCCTTCCTCAATTGGTGTCTTTCCTTGACAATCAGATGGCCTTTTTGTCATCCTAGCAGCACTGCAGTTCTGTGAAGAGTGGCTGCTGTCATGAAAACTTCAGTTCCCTTTTGTCACGTACGAGCCCTGGCACACAGGCCTCTGCCCAGGGTGTCTCTTCAAACATACAAAGCTTTGTGCAGTGAGGCTTTGGGTTAGGCCTGTAAGTGTGCTGTAACACAGGTCAATAACCAGAGTAGTATCCAGATGGACCTGCAGTATTTCTTTTGTTTTATTCTGATTTTTGTTTCTGCCTAGTTACCAAATGTGGGTTGATCTGGTAGATTTTTGAAGGAGTTGTTGACAGCCCAGTGAGCTTTAGTCAGTATCAAAGTGGTCAGTGTTAACTCTCTCTGGCACATTTTCTTGTTTGCAGAGTGAAAATAGGCAAACTATCAGAATTTCTGACTACCTCTTTCCATACCCATCTGAGCTTCCTGGATCCAGACTGTGATGTAAAACTGTTTGGTGACCGTGACGAAGGCCGTTGCAGTCCTGACAGTGAATATGGATATGAAGGCTATCCATCAGATTTCTGTGAAGAAGGTAGTAGAACTTTCGCTTCCAAATCTCTTTCTTTCGAGTATTATCAGTAGAGTATGGGTTTGCCCAGGTTGTGGAATCTGTTTAGTGCACATCTGATAGTCACTCAGGTTTCTCATGCATCAGTATGGTGACAGTATGTACGTGACTTATTTTGGAGAGGGAATTTGCACCTTCC